AAAAGATTTCCGAGGCATTGTGAAGAGAACCTTTCCGGATGGAGGTGTGTATGCGCTTTATTGTATACGGTGAATGGCTCAGTCTCGCCATTAAGCTAATTACCCTTTTAAGGCTGTAATTCTGGATGCTCGCTGAGAGCTGTTCCACTTTTTTTTTCAGACACAATCCTTTTATTCCGATACTGCAAGTTGAAAAAAAAAAATAGCCATTATTACTATTCACGTCTGCAGAGCTACATTTATTTTAGAGTGTGAGGAAGTGCTTTTTCTTTTTTCTTTTCTTTATAGCTGAACTCTGGGCACATATAAAATACATTTAATCTTGTTATGTTTTCTTTGTGCGCAGAAACATTCAGGTTGGGAGAAGGAGAGGCGGTACTGCTTTATACAATGCTGTCAGTCTAACGGTATGAACGTGCTTACAGGGGGTGAGAAATAAAAAAATGACATCGTCAATGTAGCTCCTGCTCATTCATTGTTCAGCCACAGGCTGGGGTGGGTTCTAGACCAGGCTGTATTGCTGTTCTGCCTTCCCGGTCTAAGCATCGAAGGTGTGACCTCTGTAACGTACAGCTGTGGCAAGATAGCAGTAACTCCCAATCTCAGAAGTGTTAGCAGACAGTTGACTCAATCCATATGACACTTTGAAGATCCTTGAGAACAGGGGTGTCACAAGGGGGGTGTGGGAGGTGCGGCTTGCACTGGGTGACACCATAAGGGGGGGTGACACCAAAATGACTGACAGTCACTATGTTGCCGTGAAGAAGGGACCCTGTGTGGTCCCTGAAACGTTGGCTGTATGACGCTTGTGACATGTTAATTCAATAAAAAGCAGAAAGATTGCACGCTTTTGGTTGAGTGCTGGTGATCTCCATTTGCGGGCTCTGATACGTTGGGCGGTCATGGACTGAGCTGCATGACGGCTGAATGAGAGAGGAAGGAACCCTGGAACATACCTTATTCCGCTGGATGAATGTCCCCTCCTCTCTTTGCCAACATCCATCACCAAAATGGCTGCCGGCGGTGAAGTGCACGTGACGTGATTACCTGCGTGCACGATAAAAAGTGCTTTACTTCTTGCACATATCATTGAGTGCTGGTGACCTCTATTATAGTGCCCATCAGAGCATGCATTTTGGCTCACGTTCACACAACACGGAGGTGTGAACCTGGGCTTAAAGGAGAACTATGGGGTTAAGGCTTTTCCCCATAGTTCTCCTTAGGGTAACGGGAGGACACAAACTAGCGTCCTCCTGTCACCCCAGGCTCAGTATACCGCGAGCTGTAGCTCACGGTATACTGAGACGCCGCAGCTGAAGCGGATCCCGACAATTATGCCGGGATCCGCCCAGCTGCGTGACTGACAGCTGGCTCTGCCTATCTAGAGGCAGAGCCAGCTGTACCCGCCCCCTCCTCCGTCCGTTCCGCCAGTCAGAGCTGGTGGATCGGAGGGGGGAATCCAGCCCCTCCTCTGTAATGGCAGAGAGCCGTGACAGGATCGAGAAGTGAGCGAACGCCGGTATGTGTTCGCTCACCTCCCGATCTACTGAGCCGACCTGTGACAGTCTCATTGTCACAGGTCGGCTAGAACTATGAGGTGAGTGAAAAGCACTCACCTCATACTTCTCCTTTAACTGACATCATATGCAGATTGAAGCTCATCCCTTTGACCTTCAGATGAATGAAACACAGACAATACAAAAGAAATGATGTTACTTTGTATCTCTCTATGTTGTCTGAACAATGTTTATAATCACGGTGCCAGATGGTCTGTTTTTTGACAGCTGCAGCTTCTACAGCTTCTGTATTTACATATCACATCTTGGCTGTCATTTTGACAGTTGGGAATTGGCAGCAGAGGGGCCCAAGTACAGGACGTACTATAGTTATTATTTGGTGCAGGACTCCATGCCACTGCTGCCAGCACAGGATAAGGTGAGCATGCTGCAGATGGGTAAGTATAACTTCAGGGATTGGGTTCGGGTTTCCTTCTGTTGGTCTCCTCTTTCCGTTCTCCTTCATCTTTCCATCTCTCTTTTTCTACTATAATGTTTGCTGCTGCCGTCTCCACCCTTGTGCACAGGAGTGTGAAAACTTTAAACTTTTAAAGGGCATTTAATAGGCTTAAGGAAACATTTAAGCTTTTTTTATATCCTATCAGCAAGTGTTTGTTACAAGTATATGCCGGGGGGACGCGGAGAGGTAGTAAAATACTAGTTTTCACTTGTGAGCAAATCCGTCTTTGTGGCGTTTATTATATTAATGTGTTTTTTTTTTTATTTCCCTTTTTAAACCTGTGTGGTGTTGTTCAAATTACAGTAGGATTATATGAGATTAAAGTAATCTGTGTCCTAGAGGAGCTGTAATCTTATTTGCGGAGTTATAAGGAAGACGGGCCGGTTGGCATAAAGTAGGATTGATGTATTGCCGGATTACCTGTTCAGCGGGATATAAAAAAAACCTTTTCTCTTTGCCTCTGAATTTTTTTGACCATTAAATATCTTGCAAGCAGTAAGAAAATTATTTGAAAGGTAAAAATGATCATACAAATATGGAGAATCAAATTGTGAGTGTAGGCTTAAAGGAGAACTATGTCCTCCTGTGACCCAGACGTCCTCCTGTGACCCAAAAATCAGCATATAGCGGGCTATTGCGCTGCAGCCAGAGTCGTGCTGCAGCCAGGAATGATCCTGATAATATTGTCAAAATCCACCTGCTGTCTGATTGTGCCTCCATGTTTACACATCCTGAAGTTAAATATACAATAGCACATGTACAAGAAACCTGCTCTACCTATTACCTATGCCCACAGATTGAAGGAAGAAGGTGAATGCCGGTGCTCAGAAAGGGCTCCTTCCACCTCAAACCACAGCATACATATAACAAGTTCCAGCGCACAGCTTCTTGCATTGTTCCTTTATTAAATAGCAAAAGCATGGTTCACATAGAAAAGACCCTCTGACGCGTTTCAGCCACACATGGCCTTAGTCATACCTGACACAGCTATGACTAAGGCCATGTGTGGCTGAAACGCATCAGTGGGTTTTTACTCTGTGAACCGTTCATTTGATACTAAATAAAGAAACATTTGAGTTGTATTCCAACGGTTTTCTATTACCGACACCCCGGCTTCATGCTATACAAAGTCCTGACCATTTTTTTTCTCCACTGCAGTCAAAGTTGTACAGTTCGGTCAAGGCTGTGATTGGATAGAGAAGGAACTGCGGCTTACTAATGAGGTCCTCTCTGTGATACTTCCTCCAATCAGCTTATTGGATTCGTAGCACTGTGCAATGCAGCAGAGCCAGCTTGAGTTATGGTTTCCTGCCCCTTCGCAGGTTGAATGTTGATGTGCTTATATAGGAAACGAGTATACAGACTTCATTTAGACTGAAGTAGAATATAAAAAAATAATAATAACTTCAACTTTCACACCTGTACACCTCCTATGGACCAGAGCGATTTCCACATTGTTTATTCAGCAAGAGCTTTGTCATTACTTAAAAGAGAACTATGGGGTTAGGGCTTTTCCCCATAGTTCTCTTAAGCGTCACGAGAGGACATAATCTAGCGTCCTCCCGTCACCCAAAGCTCAGTATATAATGAGCTACGGCTCGCGGTATACTGAGACTGCCGTAGCCGGGACGGGTCCCGACATTACTGTTGTTATTTTCTTTTTTATGCAGTCCATAAAAATTTTAAAAAAAAACACTTTTTTTCCAATTCAATCAGTGTTATTGTAGATAAAAAGTATAACATTTATTCTATAATGTTACACATTTAAAATCCCACAAAAATTAGAATTCTGAAAGCATTGCAAAGGAAATACAGTTTTTTGTTTTATTTCACTTTTTGTAAAATTAGATGAGGAGAGAAGAGGAAGAAGGCTTTATTTAGGGCTGATTAGTGGTTAAATAGGGGCAAATATTTTTTATTTAAAAAACGTTTTTTACGCACATTGAAACTCAAGCGTCTGATCTGCAGATGATTGAATCAGAGTAAATAAAAAGTAACAATGTTACTTTGTATCTCTCTGTCTTTTGTTCCCCATGGTCCCTGTGTGTGTTGTAAAGTAGTCACCGCTCCAAGCTCGCTCCCGGGATGGACTACAATCTCATGTTTACTTCACTCATTTGTATTGAGATTGTAGTCCATCACAGGAGCGAGCTTAGAGCGGTGACTACTTTACAACACACACAGGGACCATGGGGAACATAAGTAGCCCCCCTCCAGAAGGAAGGACAGTGTCAGCACCAATTCAGAGATGATTGGAGGATCTACAGCCGAGTGATACACAAATAAGATACATTGTTGTTACTAGTTAAAGGAGAACTATGAGGTGAGCGCTTTTCACTCACCTCATAGTTCTAGCCGACCTGTGACAATGAGACTGTCACAGGTCGGCTCAGTAGATCGGGAGGTGAGCGAACACATAGCGGCGTTCGCTTACCTCTCGATCCTGTTACGGCTCTCTGCCGTGACAGGGGAGGGGCTGGATTCCGATCCGCCAGCGCTGACTGGCGGAACGGACAGGGGAGGGGGCGGGTACAGCTGGCTCTGCCTCTAGATAGGCAGAGCCAGCTGTCAGTCACGCAGCTGGGCGGATTCCGGCACAATTGTCGGGATCCCCTTCGGCTGCGGCGTCTCAGTATACCGCGAGCAGCAGGGTGACGGGAGGACGCTGGTTTGTCCCTAAGGAGAACTATGGGGAAAAGCCTTAACCCCATAGTTCTCCTTTAAGGTACCTGAATGCATTTTTAAAATGTAACTCCTGAGTTTAGTATCACTTTAAGCTTTGTATGTAACTTCTGCTGCCTATACCTCTGGATCAACTATTCACTTTGACATAAGGGAAGTCTCCACTTCCTCAAGTTCTCATTGTCCGTGTTTCAGGTTTATAAGAAATTCAGGATATGCATTGATCAGTTATGATGACATTGAAAACATGCATTTTCAAGGCACCCGGTTGCTTATTTTGTCTCGATGTGTTCTTCTTGCAGGTGATGTAGAAGGAACCAAACCTAGCGAAAGTGCCCAACAAGAAGAGGCTGCAAGCGACGAGACCAAGGCGGACCAAGAAAATGCCTGAACACATTGAAATGTCCCCCGTTATCTCCTCTTGGACTCCATTGTTTTGCCCTTATGAACCACCCTATCCGTTCTCTCGACCTCCCCTCCCCTTCTCCTCCTCACGTGGGTTCCTCCACCTCACCCCTTTGCCCCCCTTCTATCTCTCTCTCTCTCTCTGTGTGGCAGATTCTATAACAGGCAGGAAAGTTTCAGTCCAACAGTGTGGCTTAAACATTTTTTTAAGTGTTTTCTTGGTGTTGTTATGGCGAGTTATCCAGTATGGTCCAATCAATTCATTTTGGAAACTCTTGCACTGTATCCAAGTTTAATACCGCCTCCCGTGACCTATCTCTCTGTTACACTGTGTGCAATGTACTCCTCCCGGTTCCAGATCTTTCCAGTGAAACGTTAAAAAAAAAGAAAAGGCGTCTTTTATTTCCGTTTCTGTTTTCCTTTTTTTTTTTTTTTCTCTTTTTTTTTTTGTTCTTCAATGTGATGGAATGAACTTATCAAAAAACTAAAAACAACAACAAAAAAAAGAATTATTAGCCCTCCCTACAGTTTGTTTTCCAAAAATAAAGCGATGTGCCAATTAGCGTATATATAACCGTCCGCCCCCGTGTGTGTTACTTGTCCTTTCTTGATCTGTTGACTTTTGACGCCACGCGAGAACACTTTTGCTTCCTGCCCGACCTTCCCTTCTGTATCTTCTGAACTTAGCTCCCTGTGTTGTGAATGAAGACGTCACTTTAATGGCATTGAGAATGTACGGTTTTTGATTTGTAGCGCACACGGAGGTAATAAATAGTTCTCGGTTCTCAGCAGTGTCCTGTCCGGTGTCTTCCAGGGACTGTGAAAATTCTAACATAATGGCAGGTTCTGCTAATGTAATGCCCAATTCCTGGCCATGTTTTTGGGTTTTGTTAAGGAGGTGTGAGGGATTGGAAACTCTACCAAGCTTTTGTATGTCTTCCCCATTGGGGATTTCACTCCCTTGTCCTTGTTCGCATCTCTGTCCTAGGCAATGAAGGGCAATCTTCCCAGTGGGCCAGAGGTTCTAACCTTCCCATGCATCCAAAACTCAAAAAATGTTTGGACTTCAAAGTAAGCCTGATGTGAAAAATTATATTATGTTCATTTACATTTTCTGTTCTTGCAATCTTTTGCAAGAACAGAAAATGAAAACCTTCTTGTGCATGCCCCTTTGAAACCAGATTCACTTAAATAAAGGCTTGTGTTCCTCAGCTTCAGGCTTGGGGCTAATTTACATCCCTGTGTCCTATATGGGTGTCATCATTGGCCACTGTGACCAGTAAATTTAGAACTAAGGCACCACACCATAATAAATACAAGTTTATTTCAATGATAGATTGCAAAGCCAACGTGTTATGGGAGCTGTAACTCGACCCTCTTGTTCAGGGCTTAAAAAAAAATGAAACAAATTAATGTTGACTCAATAATCAATATATAGTTGGATGTTATTGAAGTGTTGTGAGATTGAACAACTTCTGTCAGCAGCTGCTTGCATGTTGTTGTTGCAAACAGGGCCATCCCTTTAATGAGACAGCCTAAGGTTGTTGCCTCATGTGGCATCTCATTGGGTCATATGAAAGATGCTCTGGCCAGAAAGGGGGTGGCAAGTGTGCCTGCTGTCCCCTTTCCAGCCAGAGCATCCCAGGTTGCTAGAAGCTCTTAGCAACCTGTGAAGCTCTGGCTGCTGTCCCGCCCAGCTCACTGATGTCACTGGTTGCCAGGAGCTGAGGGGGATGTTCAGGCTGGTGTCCCGCCCTGCTCCTGGCAACCAGTGATGTCAGTGAACTGGGTGGGACGAACTGCCCCACAAGCAAGCCCAGACTCTCCCCTCCTCCCTTAGACATCCATCAACAATGCCCCCCCTTCGGAACATGCACAAAGAGCAACTAACCCAATGCACTGCCCCCCAATCTACAGAAGAACTGTTGGACTATAAAAACGTACCCTTGCAATGGTGTTACCCCTTGCACTGCAAGGATTAAGTGTTTGTTTTGTCTAGTGGACTCAAATAAAGCAGATTTACTCACCCGAGCACTCATCTCTTACCCCCTCCTACACTTTTTCTACACCTGGAGTGCTGATGTTTCCTACCCCTGTGCTAATAAGGGGTTATTTGCCCTAAAAAGGACCAGGAGATGAAGTCAACAAGAGATGCTTGAGAACTGCATCTTCAGGCAAGTGTTTATTGGACAGAAGTATTTTAAATGTTTCTATGACCAATAAATACTAACGTTCTGTAGATATAGTTCTCAAGCATTTCCTTTTTCATAGGCACCTCTGATGGATTTCTCTTCTGTTCTTGTATGGGACAAACAAACCCTCTACCATTACCATATAGCTAGGAAGATGGACCCTTACCAGCATTAAATGACTGATCAGTCCCTTTGGCCACTCACTACAAGTGCTCTGTTACAGAGACCTACCTGCATAGGTGGGGAGGATGGGACAGTTGTAATATTTCCAGGATGTGGCTGTGAAGAAGGAGGCTAAGAAAATAATTCTTCCATTCTGCTTGTCAGCATCTTCCCCAGCTGAATGGCAGGAAGTACATGGCAGCTACATCCTCTATATGCATAATGTACGTGTAATAGGTGCAAGATGGGGCTGACTGCCCTTTCATCCGTGCCCTAATTAGGGTCCTTCTTTTCTAGCTAGAAAGTGGGAAGCTCTAATGATAGCATAGCATAGACCGAGTAACCTGGAGTGGATTGTATACTGAGAGAAAGGTAAATTCATCCATTTCTTCAAAGTCCAACTTCAGCTAAAGCCGGTTTCATGAATCTGCATAGAGTCAGGAAAGGAAAAGACAGGAAGTGATGGGACATCTCTCCAAAACGTTTTTCATGCTGCCTACGTCTTCCAGTTGAGGCGATACCAATGTTGGTGTCACCAGGACAGGAAGTAAGGGGAGATGTCTAAAATGGGGTCAATGACCATGACCATAGAAACCTGACAGCAGTTCTAACCCTTCTCCGCTCTCTGCACACAATAGCTTTGGTGGGAGTTGGGCTATAAAAGTGGTTTAGAAGAGCTAAATGTGCTTCACCACTCATCCAACCAGCTATTCCATGACACCATGACCTGAAATCCTTCACAGAGAACAATTTCTAATATTTTCATAGCAGTTGTCCTTTAAAGAGAACCTGCCATCACCCTAAAAACTTGCAGTTGAAAGCACAGAAAAGCTAGTATTTTATATGTTTACTTGTAGTGTTTTTCATCTCCATAAATGATTATTTGCTTGCAATGTGCCTTGGAACTTTCTAAATTTTTGACCATTCCTGGAAGAGTTCATTCCCTAGCCCACCTCCCCCCTCCTTGCACGTCAAAGCCCTCTCCTCTTATAGGAGTGTCTAATTACTGTCTGTGTTGGCCAAGGTTCCCTACCTTCTTCTCCATACATAACCTTTTATATCACTGTCAGGGGAGAAGAGAAGGGAAATACTAATGAGTGTCAATTGAGTGTCACTCCGAGGCTGCCCGGGCATCACATTTAAGATGGCAGCACCCAGCAACAGTCTCAAGCTTTTGGATGTCTACATAAGGGAGGCTCTTACAGGTAAATAACATGCCTATACTACAATAAATGCTCATATAATCCTATGGGAAAATCGGATTTCTTTCTTCCCTGATGGGCACATTGGGCATATTCCAAGATGACAATGTCAGGATTCATCGGGCTCAGATTGTGAAAGAGTGGTTCAGGGAGCATGAGACATCATTCTCACACATGGATTGGCCACCACAGAGTCCAGACCTTAACCCCGTTGAGAATCTTTGACATGTGCTGGAGAAGACTTTACACAATGTTCAGACTCTCCCATCATCACTACAAGATCTTGGTGAAAAATGAATGCCACTCTGGACGAAAATAAATGTCACATTGCATAAGCTTATCAAAATAATACCACGTAATCACAGCTAAAGGTGGTCCAATGAAATATTAGAGAGTGTGACCTTTTTTTGGCCAGGCAGTCTATATCTCACTACCAGACATCAGCAATAAGTTTAAAAGGTCCATCAGTTGTGGTTCAGCTGAATCTTCAAAAACATCCTGCAAACCTCCGAAATTTGAAATTCTCTAACTGGAACTCCACCCAAATTCAGACCTGCTTGTGGCCCTAGATCAGACTTTCACAAGCAGTGGGAGCTAAGGCTTCCTGTAGAGGTTGCCAAGGGTTCTTTGTCTATACACAAATGCAACCATTAATATAAAGGATATTATTTCTCCAACTGTCTACCAATATAAGTGGTCCCTTGTCCCACCGGCCATAAATGTAAGAGACCCTTTTCTGCTGACCACCTTTTTCTGGGCCTTTCTACAAGGACCATCAATATAGGGTATTTGGAAGTGAAAAGGAAGTGGTGGAGCTGTGTGCTTATTATGCTGGTGTCTCTCATCCAATAGTGGTAAAGTGATGCGAATATGGCTGATCTGGCTAATGGGTAGGTGGTTCCACAAGCCAAATGATCTCCACAGTATCCTTGGCTCGACAATGTACACAGAAGATGTAGAAATTGAACCGCCACACCATGTAAAATAGTCCAGATAAAACTTTATTCCATTAGGGTCAGAAGACATTCAAGTGGAGTAGCCAACATGTTTCATGGGTCCAAAACACCCCCCCTTCATCATGGTTTAATGGGAGAGATCATGTACGTGGACTACAATCCCTGCAGCTTGAAAGTTGCCTTGAGTTGTGATGTGAGCACTTCAGGCTTGTCAGGCGGCTTGGCATCCTAAACCAGCAGCTGACAAGCCTGAAGTAGTCCCATTAAAAATGAAATGTGTTGGCTACTCTATATGAATGTCATCTGACCCTAATGCAATATATTGTATCTGGACTATTTTAATTGGTGTGGCGTTTCAATTCCTACCCTCAATACACTTCTACTGACCGCCAATTAAAGCGGGGTGGGAGGCTTCATCTCTGAACACTAATAGGACAGGACCTTACAGAGGTTACCGTCTGGTTTTATGGTGGTTAGGTTAGGTATGACCCGCCTGGGGTGTCAAATGCTATTGGTACACCAATTCTGTATATGATGATATCTACAACTTACTGATTACACTTGATGCACCATTAGCTGTGGATATAATAATTCTTAGCTGGGGTTCCTTGAGACCAAAAAATTATTTCAAGGGCTCCTCTAGGTAAAACGGCTGAGTAAGGACGCCTTAGATGGAAAGCCCTGACCCAAGATGATCCTTATATCAGAGTCCTTCACACACAATGATACAATATGCTGTCCACCTATAATCTTTAGATGAGTCCGCTAATCTGCTTTCCTTACTGCTATTGTCTGTCTTTGTAAATCAGCTTGTCTGACTGATCGCAGCTTAAGAGGTAGAGAGCAAGGTATATCTGATAATCGAGGCAGTGCAGACACGAAGGTTGTTTGCCATAAGGTGCTGCATGTTACTGCAACTTCCCATTTACTAAATAAACCCAGCTCCGATCTTAGGTTTTTACCAACCTTATGGTCCTGGATCCTGGGAAATTGTTAACCCCAACCCTCTGTCCACATTTGGTCCATCAACTTCCTGGGTTCACTATGGTTTGGTCCTCCCAGACGTCCGCAGGTTGGTCCCCCCAGACCCGCCCCCAGGTCCTCTAAATATGCCAGGACTGCCCACCTTGCCCACTTCATGGGTTGGTCCCACACACATCCCACCTCTACATATGCGAGGATTCCCAGCAATCAGTTGACAGTTGGTATCTATCATCTGTTTCTTCCTTGCTAGGCCAACTGTTAAACCCAAGAACCTAATGTCTGAGGCCCCATT